TGACCGTCACATTATAATGACCCCACGACTGAAATGGCGAACATGTTTGGTGTGACGGGGATTTGAACCCGCGACCCTCAGATTGCGAGTTGAGTGCCCTAACTACCTGGTCATGCCGGCCGCACATCTTTTTTGAAAGAACTCTTCTTTTTGGTCCTCAATCCATGACTTTACGGTATATAAGAGATAATTATAACAAGGTGTGAAATCTGTGATGAATAATTCTGATAAACATTAATCTAAAATAAAATAAAAATATCGAAATATGATAAATTCCTAAAATGATGAGGTACTTTTGCTTTTACACGAGTTAATTGTTTTTTGTTGGTTTTTTTTGCGTGTCACAATATTAAGTATTTATTTATTATATTATTATATCATATTAGTACATAAAGAAGCTGGTGTAGGGTTGATAATCGTAGGTTATTGATGTCTATCTGACTCGTTAAAACTGAACAGCTTGAACTGAACTTTAAAAAACAGTAGGTCTGGTATAGACTTTTGGTTAAGACCCTCGACTCGGGATTGAAAACTGGCATTGAATATGCTCGCTCTTTCAAGCGTGGGGTTTTATAATATGACTGTCATCCCACTATTCGTAGGTAAATGAGTAGCTTAAGAGTTGGCGACGAATGCCATTGGTCGATTGCTGTTCGGTCGGCAGTTGAACGACGAATGAGTGTGTGTGTTCTTATAGCAAAACCATATCGGGCTATCTGCTGTGTCTACCAAGGGGAATCGAACCGCTGATTTTAGCATTGTAAATCCGAAGACTTACCGCTGTCCCACCGGGGACTCAACGACAGATGAAGGACTACTTTCTAAATGTTTTTATATCCGTCATTAAAAACTTATTTTAATTTGGGAATGTTTCAACTTGTTTGTTTCATTCAATATTTTTAACTGTGTAAGTATTCAGTATTATAACTATTTCACAATTGTTGCATTTTTTTTGTGTTTTTGTTTTTTATTCTATGTGTTGTATGTTACTATCAATATACTTTGTATGCAGCTCATAAATATCATGTTCCGGAATTCATAAAAACATTTTGCTCAACACTTTCTAAGAATATGAAACATACATAGGCCAGCATGTCAACAATATAGTCATATCAGCTGTTTTCTTACTCACCAACGCATGCAATATTCTAAGTTCTATCATGTTGCCCAGGGGATGTGCCTTTGCATGCAGTTGACCTCCTGTCAACCGAGTGATGGAAACAAGATGCAACTTCAGATAATCTCCAATGGTGTAAATAAACACTTACCACTGAAGGCAGCGCGTCAACCAAACTAAGTCTCGTTTGCATATGGTATAAAACTTTGAGGAATTACGTAACTAATAGCGGGGTGCTAGTTTCTGATCTATTTAAACACTTCCAAACAAAATTATCTACTTCACAAAATAAAATATTTAAATTGGAAAACATTTGACGAATTATATATTTAATAGTTTTTCACAAAATACATCAACTGCTGATGTTGTAACACTGTTTCGGAGCTCGTGCATCAATTTTAATAACACGGTAAGTCTTCGGATTTTCAACGCTAAAATCAGGGGTTCAATTCCCCTCGGTGGACACAGCAGATAGCTCGATATGGCTTTGGTATAAGAAAACACACACAGAGAACTACGTGAGAATCAGACGGTTATGAGGAACAAAAGAAAAAACAAACATGGAGATCTCGACTATGTACTTCATTATATGTTATTAATTGCTCATAAACATAATCAATTAACCAGACATTTCACATTTCTCAAAATAAAAATTAAAGCTTGGGTGGACATCTGCCTCCCCCCCCCTCACTCCTAAATTGTTGGCGTCAGTATTCTCGAACATATAAAAACGTATGAAGTAAAACCAAAATACGTCAACACACGTTACACCTCTGTTTACTATTAGTGTAATGTTGGATGATTTATCATTCTTTTTTATAGTAATTAAGAATTATCTAAAAATTGTTTGTACTGAACTCTTTCTGTTGCTTAAAGAAACAACGGTTAATTTAGTCGCTACTTTTTGAGCTAACGAACAGTTACTCATCAATTATCAGATTACTTTTATAAATAGAGTTATCACCTTTAAACCACAGATACTAGATACACAAGTTGATGAGAACATTCATAACTAACATCTTTAATTAACCCTTTCAGCACTGTACTCATCTTCTGTATAAAGCTACAGATAGTATATAAAGCATAATTTCTAGTACATAAAATTAGACCTTTATTAAAGATCTTATTTACAAAAGCTGGAGAAACGTTTATGTCAAATGTGTAAAATATATATATATATATATCATGGGCGCCCGCAGGAAGGGGCAAGGGGTCACTTGACCCCCTGGATTTTCAAAAAGAAAAAAAAATACTAGATATGTAAAGTTATTATTCTATGTCATTGGAAAATCATAAGGTATTTGTATTTCGATTTCATAATTTTTTAAAACTTGAGTTACTTGATCCCCCTAATTTTTTTCTGCGGGCGCCCTTGATATATATATATAAGCTTAAAACGATTTTGGAATCTTATCACGTCCTTTCTGTCTATGTCGCTATATTCGGTCATGCTCTACCAATGGGGCGCTGAGCGTTTAAAGTACAAATTAATTTTGAAAAAAAAAGTTTTAAAAACTGCTGTACAAATATTTCTACTATTACATAATATAGTAACAACAATTAACATAGGAAAATTAGATGGACAATACATATATACATAGATAGGTTAGAATGGGGAGCTATGTCAGCGTGCGGGCTGGAAAAGGAAGGAATTGAGTTTAATTCCATTCTGAAAAGTATATGGAAAGAGAAACTACGCAGACAAAACTTTTTTTGTATTTTACTTCCTTTGTTCTTACTTTTCCGCGTGGAATTAACCTCTCATATACACAAACAATTTTGCAT